GGGGTTGTTGAACCGTTTCATCCAGCCACCTCAGCAATATGTCGGCGGTATCACGGCGGTCTGTAGAAGAGAGTCTATTAACATATTATATATGTCCAAGAGGTAACGGATTCTTCGACTATTCACAGATATGATATTCGTGTGTCCTAGAAGCAGAGTATTCTACTATTCACCGATGATATTGGTGTGTCCTAGAGGTAGTGTATTCGACTATTCATAGATGATATTGGTGTGTCTTAGAGGTAGTGTATTCGACTATTCACAGATGATATTCGCGTGTCCTAGAGGCGGTCTATATGAGTCTTCACAGATGATAGCAGTGTGTCCTAGAGGCAGGGTATACGAGTATTCACAGATGATTGCAGTGTGTCATAGAGGCAGTCTATACGAGTATTCACAGATGATAGCAGTGTGTCATAGAGGCAGTCTATACCAGTATTCACAGATGATAGCAGTGTGTCCTAGAGGCAGTCTATACGAGTATTCACAGATGATAGCAGTGTGTCCTAGAGGCAGTCTATACGAGTATTCACAGATAATTGCAGTGTGTCCTAGAGGTAGTGTATACGAGTATTCACAGATGAGAGCAGTGTGTCCTAGAGGCAGTCTATACGAGTATTCACAGATGATAGCAGTGTGTCCTAGAGGCAGTCTATACGAGTATTCACAGATGATAGCAGTCTGTCCTAGAGGCAGTCTATACGAGTATTCACAGATGAGAGCAGTGTGTCCTAGAGGCAGTCTATACGAGTATTCACAGATAATTGCAGTCTGTCCTAGAGGCAGTCTATACGAGTATTCACAGATGATAGCAGTCTGTCCTAGAGGTAGTGTATACGAGTATTCACAGATGAGAGCAGTGTGTCCTAGAGGCAGTCTATACGAGTATTCACAGATAATTGCAGTCTGTCCTAGAGGCAGTCTATACGAGTATTCACAGATGAGAGCAATGTGTCCTAGAGGCAGTCTATACGAGTATTCACAGATGATAGCAGTCTGTCCTAGAGGCAGTCTATACGAGTATTCACAGATGAGAGCAGTGTGTCCTAGAGGCAGTCTATACGAGTATTCACAGATAATTGCAGTCTGTCCTAGAGGCAGTCTATACGAGTATTCACAGATGAGAGCAGTGTGTCCTAGAGGCAGTCTATACGAGTATTCACAGATGAGAGCAGTGTGTCCTAGAGGCAGTCTATACGAGTATTCACAGATGATAGCAGTGTGTCCTAGAGGCAGTCTATACGAGTATTCACAGATGATTGCAGTCTGTCCTAGAGGCAGTGTATATGAGTATTCACAGATGATAGCAGTGTGTCCTTGAGGTAGTGTATACGAGTATTCACAGATGATAGCAGTGTGTCCTAGAGGCAGTCTATACGAGTATTCACAGATGATTGCAGTCTGTCCTAGAGGCAGTGTATATGAGTATTCACAGATGATAGCAGTGTGTCCTTGAGGTAGTGTATACGAGTATTCACAGATGATAGCAGTGTGTCCTAGAGGTAGTGTATACGAGTATTCACAGATGATAGCAGTGTGTCCTAGAGGCAGGGTATACGAGTATTCACAGATGAGAGCAGTGTGTCCTAGAGGCAGTCTATACGAGTATTCACAGATGATAGCAGTGTGTCATAGAGGCAGTCTATACCAGTATTCACAGATGATAGCAGTGTGTCCTAGAGGCAGTCTATACGAGTATTCACAGATGATAGCAGTGTGTCCTAGAGGCAGTCTATACGAGTATTCACAGATGATAGCAGTGTGTCCTAGAGGCAGTCTATACGAGTATTCACAGATAATTGCAGTCTGTCCTAGAGGCAGTCTATACGAGTATTCACAGATGATAGCAGTGTGTCCAAGAGGCAGTCTATACGAGTATTCACAGATGATATAGGTGTGTCCTAGAGGTAGTATATACGAGTATTCACAGATGATAGCAGTGTGTCCTAGAGGTAGTGTATACGAGTATTCACAGATGATAGCAGTGTGTCCTAGAGGCAGTCTATACGAGTATTCACAGATGATATAGGTGTGTCCTAGAGGTAGTATATACGAGTATTCACAGATAATAGCAGTGTGTCCTAGAGGTAGTGTATACGAGTATTCACAGATGATATAGGTGTGTCCTTGAGGTAGTGTATACGAGTATTCACAGATGATAGCAGTGTGTCCTAGAGGTAGTGTATACGAGTATTCACAGATGATATAGGTGTGTCCTAGAGGTAGTATATACGAGTATTCACAGATGATAGCAGTGTGTCCTTGAGGTAGTGTATACGAGTATTCACAGATGATAGCAGTCTGTCCTAGAGGCCGTTTATACCAGTATTCACAGATGATAGCAGTGTGTCCTAGAGGCAGTCTATACCAGTATTCACAGATGATAGCAGTGTGTCCTAGAGGCCGTCTATACCAGTATTCACAGATGATAGCAGTCTGTCCTAGAGGCCGTCTATACCAGTATTCACAGATGATAGCAGTGTGTCCTAGAGGTAGTGTATACGAGTATTCACAGATGATATAGGTGTGTCCTAGATGCAATGTGTACGAGTATTCACAAATGATACTATGCTCATCGTAGGTCGTGATAGGTCGACTTCAGGCAATCTAACGACTTTGTTTCGACGCCACCGTGAGAAATGGGTACACGACGCGGAATCAAAGGTGAACAAACATTCAACACACCATCGTTAAACATGCTACAGTTTCATATCAACCAAATCAAAGCTGATGTTTATACTTAACATCTGTATTGTAATGTGTTATTTACAAATTCTGATCACACAAAAAGACATTTGAATGGGGCTCAAGAGTCATGTTTTACATATTTTGAACAAATAGCAACGCATCGTTGATATGCCCTTGATTGTATTCTGAAGATCTATGATAACTCGTTACACCGATATATGACCCTGAGTGGGCATGAAGGCGACATAACTCGAGAGCTTTTCATCACAGTTGTGGGAGGCATTTCTTGAAAGTAGGACATTCAACTCAAATATGTCTACTGGAGACGGAGAACCAGGCGGGTCGAGATAAGATGTGGATTTATACATCACTCATACACGGGTACATGGTATTTAGATAATTCCCATGTGAAAATTGGTAAAGAGACAGTTAAGTTGATGTATTTGTTCCCCGGTTATTTGCATATCAAAATGTGAAGCTGGCGACTCTTTTACGTGGAATCAAACCAGTTCCATCTAAAGATGTCTCTGTGTAGATGTATCCAGGTGCCCCAGCCTTGACCATGAATATATACTGAGGGGCAAAAGAAACTATCTTCAGTTGATTATTTTGAATTTCCATTTAAATTAGTGATAACATATAAAAAACTTTACTGGCGCTTAGTCAGCACTCACAGATTTTTTTCTTTAAATTTTTTCTCTAAATATAACTTGATTTAAAATTTTAAAACTTAAAACATAATTAGCATATTAAAAATTGCCAATAGGTATCAACAAATTTACATTTCAAACATGGTAGGGGTATATTAGGGGCAGTATATTTTTACACACACTTACACAGCCACAAATTACCCTTTAAAAACTGTTGGTTAAATTGACAATTTAGATTTAACAACAGTTCTTTCAATTTTAAATTACATGAAATACTTTCGTTTGCCCCTCCGTTTACAGGGTCTGTCTGTTTTTTGTCAGAATCTAATTTCAAGAGTACATTTTCCAGTAGTTTTGTGGCTATATTGGGTTATTGGAGCTACAAACAACACAAACCACAAAAACTCAACTATTGTTTAAACCACGAGGCGTCAGAGTGGCGTGGTTATTCTGACATCTGACAAAGGATCCTGGGCGACATGGACATCAACAACCAAATATGAACAAAGGACGAAAAGCGTGTCATTGTTAGCTATTTGACGATACACCGAACATTCGATACATCGCGATACTCTGTGAGGTTATGCATCGATACAAAATGATACAATTATGTCTATGACTGACCATAACGTTTTATGAAAACTAATTGTAAAATACCATTTCGGCCGGAATGTACAAGAGGTCACAAGTCACGTTCCATTTATTAACTAAACTCACCGATGATTCCATTCATTACCTTCGGTGATGGAATAAGGTCTCTTAGCATGGCATCGGTTTCTTTTCACCAACACCTGGTGTCATCACTAATTTTCAGTTATCCATTCATGTAATTCTCACCGACATTTTGCCTTTCCCGCCCAATGGCATCTGTTTCGCTGGATAATCGAGGCCGGTTATTCTCTGGCGTTGACGTTGACGTTGACGTTGACGTTTTCAAGTGTCGTAACGTGTACTGCGACATTGCTACCGAGATATATATCGTATCGCGGCAAAATGTATCCTTACAACCCAAATTCATCATCATCATCATCATCATCATAAAGCTTTAACAGGAGAGCACAGGTGTTAGATTATCTGACAACGTGAAATCATACGTATTAAATGATCGATTAAATTGAAACGGGTCAAGAAATTTAGTTTACACATTTGAAATATGCCGTTTGTTAGTTCAACATGTACTGACTCTTGTGTATGGAGATAAGCCTGTATACAAACATGCATATTTCACAGCAAACAGGGTCCCATCACACATCTATGTTGCAGGGGGAGGGGGAGGGGCAATCCTTGGTCGTGCCGCACGTCGACACGAGGCGGCGAACATCAAAGTGTTCAGGTGTGGGGCAGGTAGATCGATAATCACCGCTAACGCCGAAGAGTTCAAAAGGGGAGAGCACTGATACCATCATTAAGTGAGTCAGTGTTGTGTTTGGGTGGTCATACCATTACGCCGTTGATACGACTGGTTTGCAACAATTGCCTTGTTGATAGTTTCACGAAAGCTTCTGTCGCGCTCTTATCACTTGGATCATACACATATTGGCCTCAAAACCGTTACGAGATACAAACGTGCAAATTAGTGTAAATATTCGCCCCTTGAAACGGATTAAGATCTCTTCAACTCAGAGACTGAAACGTTCACGACACGTTATATCTGACTCCGGAATGCCCAAAGGTTGTCAGTCACAGGAGCTTCAGCTGCGACTCTACAAACGATTCTTATTGGGTAGTAACACGCTCGGTCTACGGACAACAGACATAGGAATTTACAAAGTTTATTGCCAGTCTAGCGGAATAGACTGTCCCACTTAAGTCATCTTATAAAAAACGAATGAGTGAGCGAGTGAGTGGGTGTGTGGGTTGGTTTTTGGGTGAGCGAGCGTGTGAGTGAGTGAGTGAGTGGATGGGTGGGTGGGTGGGTGGGTGGGTGGGATTTTGGACGAACCAGTGAGGGATTGAGAGGATGCGTTGGTGGGATTGTGGGTGAACCAGTGACTGAGTGAGTGAGTGGGTGGATGGGATTTAGGGTAAACCAGTGACTGAGTGAGTGAGTGAGTGAGTGAGTGAGTGAGTGAGTGAGTGAGTGCGTGCGTGGGTGGGTGGGTGGTATTTTGGGTGAACCAGTGAGCGAGTGAGTGAGTGCGTAGGTGAGCGAGTGAGTGAGTGGGTAGATGGCGGGGATTTTGGGTGAGGGAGTAGCTGGAAGTGTGGGATTTTGGGTGGGGGAGTGCGTGAGTACTTATTCAGTCTGGACCTGTCGCGAGAGTGCTTAAATTTGAAACATTGTTGATTCCTCTCATTCGAGATCAGTTAAGGATATCTCGATTTCCATGTTTATTTGACATTATAACTATCATATGCACATATATCCCATTCGTTTTACGCGATATGTATAACCCATGTGGACGAAACAATATTAGATATCTGAAAATTTAAATATCACCAAATTACCTAAGCCAATGTGCGCATATCAAGGTCGATATCGAGAATGATAGGTTCAATTCACCGTCAAATCAAACTGTGCAACAGATCACACGGTGCTTTCTTTCCACGTGTTCGACATGTAAAATGATTTTATAGACATCTTGAATTCAATCCCGGATTCATTGATAGATCAGATGGGATAGCCTCGTGGTTCCAGTACTGTCAATCGTTTTTATACTAGGTCCACTTGCATAAAGCGATCATAGCGCTAAGACTATCGTAAGCCTATGCTAAAGTATGGGAGTTACAATCATCTTAGCGCTAAGATCGCTTTGTGCAAGTGGACCCAGGTCTTCACTAATAGTCAGTTGGCCACGAGGGGAAAAGAGGCTTCCCAAATGAATAATTTGACAACATTGGTTGTAACATAGTTATTAAGTCATCAAATTATCCAAGTTATGTCTTGGATTTCAGATTTTTCCTTCAATTAATGTAATTTTGACCCCCTGGAAATTCACGCACACCCTTGCAAGCTTACCATGCAAGCTTACCATGCAAGCTTACCATGCAATGAAATATATGCACAGATGTCTTCTTTATAAAAAAGAAAAGGCTGTAGCTATAAAGGGAAAAGTGGGAACTAGAAACTTGTTTTCCACCCCTGGTCAGCTGATTAGAACAGGTTCAAACAGTGTTCTTTTAACTAACTGGATGTTTAAATAAGCATAATCTCTATTTCAAAGGGAAGCAGCTGCCTCCAAGAATCTGATTGAGGAACAGTGTCAGGGCTAGCGCAGAGGGGCATCTAGCATCATCAACTAGATGACATATATATTGAAAAGCCAATCAGCTTTTACAGACAAAACGAAGTTTACCCTCGCCTACCAGTGAAAAATTATAAAAAACTTTATTGTTATATTTGGCAGAATTAAGATATGACATTTAAAGCACTAAGCGTGTCAAACAAAATAGAAATGTACTGAAGCATTCAATCAGTTATTAAGGGTGTCCATCTTTGTTGTCCCCCTTGGATCTCGGGACGGTGTCACGCCAACCGATGAGCGTCGGCTCTACAGGTGGCCAATTTAAATAGTGGAAATTAATTAGACATTTTTATTACACCACTATAATATTTTCCCAGTTACTGCAAAAATCAGTTCCTTTCTTATACTCTTTCGCGCGTAAAATTGATCGTTTTATGTGCAATTGTCCCAAGGCGCCATATTGATGATTGTCTACCTCACACAGGGATGACGGGCAAAGGGGCGTAATCCCATTGATATCCAGTGGCGTACCACTGATTATTTTTTTCGGAAATCAGTAAAGTATATTCATTGAGAGTGAAGCCGGAAATGAATAGTTTCTCTGCGTGTGTTTTCTTTGTGTATTACTGATATAAAGATAATTATAAAGCTCATGATATCTCGTGCTGCAGATGAATAAAATAAGGAAATCAGACCCGTAAGAACAATGTACGTTTATATCGCGTATCCCTGACATTTCCATAATGGTGATTTACGTCCATAAAAATATAATAGAAAACAACGATTTGAAAAGAATTGTAAGCATCCTGCTTTACGTGAAAGAGTAATAATGTAATTATGACAACGGGGTTTCCATTTGCTAATGGGTGCATGAGGTTTTGTCAATCTGTTAGTTCAGATCATATAATAGACCCCTAATCGACATCTTAATTCCAAGGAAATCGCTCATAATAGAAATGAAATGTGAATTATATTGCAAACATTAAAATCTTATGCCCAATGAGCGAGGTATTATGGCGCCGCAACATCATGATAGATTTTGACCCAGGAAAAGCAGTGTCGACTTCTCATTCGAGATTGGTTTCAACATTTACATATCGGATTACCACCATTTCGTTTTCCAAATCTCCTTTTCACAACAGATTTACCCATCATCATCATCCAACCCAAAAGCCCACACTTTTCCGGCTCCTACCCTCACCATCCTCCCCACCTCACCATCCTCCCCACCCTCCCCATCGTCCCCACACACCACATCCTGACCGCCCTCACCACCTTCACCACCTTCCCCCCTCACTACCCTCACCAACCTCCCCACGCTGCCCAATCTCACAATCCTCCCCAACCTCACCATCCTCCAAACCCTCCCTACCCTCACCAACCTCTCCATCCTCCCCAACTTCTCCTCTCCACGCTGCCCAATCTCACCATCCTCACCACCCTTCAAAACCTCACCATCCTCCCCACCCTCACCATCCTTCCTACGCTCCCCAACCTCACCACCCTCACCATCCTTCCCACGCTCCCCAACCTCACCATCCTCACCATTCTTCCCACGCTGCCCAACCTCACCATCCTCCCCACCCTCACTATCCTTCCCACGCTCACCAACCTCACCATCCTCACCATCCTTCCCACGTTTCCTACCCTCACCAACCTCCCTACCCTCCCCATCGTCCCCACACACCACATCCTGACCGCCCTCCCCACCCTCACCACCGTCACCAACTTCCCCCTTCACTACCCTCACCAACCTGCCCACACTGCCCAATCTCACCATCATACCAACCCTACCCTACCCTTACCATCCTTCCCACCCTCACCACCGTCACCATCCTCAGCACCCTCCCAATCCTCAACACCCTCTACATACTCAACACCCTCTACACCCTCAACACCCTCTACACCCTCACCATCCTCAACACCCTCAACACCCTCACCACCCTCACCACTCTCACCACTCTCACCACACTCACCACCCTCAACACCCTTAACACTCTCACCACTCTCACCATCCTTCCCACCCTCACCACCGTCACCATCCTCAGCACCCTCCCAATCCTCAACACCCTCTACATCCTCAACACCCTCTACACCCTCAACACCCTCTACACCCTCACCATCCTCAACACCCTCAACACCCTCACCACCCTCGACACCCTTAACACTCTCACCACTCTCACCATCCTCAACACCCTCAACACCCTCAACACCCTCAACACCCTCACCATCCTCAACACCCTAAACACCCTCACCATCCTCAACACCATCACCATCCTCAACACCCTCACCACTCTCACCATCCTCAACATCCTCAACACCCTCACCATCCTCAACACCCTCACCATCCTCAACACTCTCAACACCCTCAACACCCTCAACACCCTCAACACCCTCAACATCCTCAACTCTCTCAACACTCTTACCATCCTCAACATCCTCAACACCCTCACCATCCTCAACACCCTCAACACCCTCAACACCCTCACCACTCTCACCATCCTCAACATCCTCAACACCCTCACCATCCTCAACACCCTCACCATCCTCAACATCCTCAACACCCTCACCATCCTCAACACTCTCACCATCCTCAACATCCTCAACACCCTTACCATCCTCAACACCCTCACCACTCTCACCATCCTCAACACCCTCACCATCCTCAACACCCTCACCACCCTCAACACCCTTAACACTCTCACCACTCTCACCATCCTCAACACCCTCAACACCCTCAACACCCTCACCATCCTCAACACCCTAAACACCCTCACCACCCTCAACACCCTCACCATCCTCAACACCCTCACCACTCTCACCATCCTCAACATCCTCAACACCCTCACCATCCTCAACACCCTCACCATCCTCAACACTCTCAACACCCTCAACACCCTCACCATCCTCAACACCCTCAACACCCTCAACACTCTCAACACTCTCACCATCATCAACACCCTCACCATCCTCAACACCCTAAACACCCTCAACACTCTGAACACTCTCACCACCCTCAACACCCTCACCATCCTCAACACCCTCAAAACCCTCAACACCCATAACACCATCAACACTCTCACCACTCACCACCCTCACCACACTCACCACCCTCACCACCCTCAACACCCTTAACACCATCAACACTCTCACCACCCTCAACACCCTCAACACCATCACCAGCCTCAACACCCTCAACACTCTCAACACCCTCAACACCCTTGCCATCCTCAACACTCTCACCACGCCCCCTTCCCTCACCATCCTCCAAAACCTCACCATCCTCAACACCCTCACCATCCTTCCCACGCTCCCCAACCTCACCAACCTCACCATCCTCCCCACGCTCCCTAACCTCATCATCCTTCCCACGCTCCCCAACCTCACCATCCTTCCCACGCTCCCCAACCTCACCATCCTCACCATCCTTCCCACGCTCCCCAACCTCACCATCTTCACCATCCTTCCCACGCTCCCCAACCTCACCATCCTCACCATCCTTCCCGCGCTCCCCAACCTCACCATCCTCACCATCCTTCCCCCGCTCCCCAACCTCACCATCCTTCCCACGCTCCCCAACCTCACCAACCTCACCATCCTTCCCACGCTCCCCAACCTCACCATGCTCACCACCCTTCCCATCCTTCCCAACCTCACCCTCCTCACCATCCTTCCCATGCTCTCCAACCTCACCATCCTTCCCACGCTCCCCAACCTCACCATCCTCACCATCCTCCCCACGCTCCCCAACCTCACCATCCTTCCCACGCTCACCAACCTCACCATCCTCCCCACGCTCACCAACCTCACCATCCTTCCCACGCTCCCCAACCTCACAATCCTTCCCTGGCTCCCCAACCTCACCATCCTTCCCACGCTCCCCAACCTCACCATCCTCACCATCCTTCCCACGCTCCCCAACCTCACCATCCTCACCATCCTTCCCACGCTCCCCAACCTCACCACCCTCACCATCCTTCCCATGCTTCCCAACCTCACCCTCCTCACCATCCTTCCCATGCTCCCCAACCTCACCATCCTTCCCACGCTCCCCAACCTCACCATCCTCACCATCCTTCCCATGCTTCCCAACCTCACCCTCCTCACCATCCTTCCCATGCTCCCCAACCTCACCATCCTCCCCACGCTCACCAACCTCACCATCCTTCCCACGCTCCCCAACCTCACCATCCTTCTCTGGCTCCCCAACCTCACCATCCTTCCCACGCTCCCCAACCTCACCATCCTCACCATCCTTCCCACGCTCCCCAACCTCACCATTCTCACCATCCTTCCCACGCTCCCCAACCTCACCATCCTCACCACCCTCACCATCCTTCCCATGCTCCCCAACCTCACCATCCTTCCCACGCTCACCAACCTCACCATCCTTCCCACGCTCCCCAACCTCACCACCCTCACCATCCTTCCCACGCTCCCTACCCTCACCATCTTCACTATCCTCCCTATCCTCCCCATCGTCCCCACACACCACATCCTGACCGCCCTCACTACCCTCACCAACCTCCCCACCCTGCCCAATCTCACCATCCTCCCGAACCTCCACGATCACCCCCCTCCCCACGCTCCCAACTCTCACCATCCTCAACACTCTCACCATCCTCAACACCCTCAACACCCTCAACACCTTCACCACTCTCACCATCCTCAACACTCTCATCACTCTCACCACTCTCACCACTCTCACCATCCTCAACACCCTCAACACCCTCAACACCTTCACCACTCTCACCATCCTCAACACTCTCATCACTCTCACCACTCTCACCACTCTCACCACCCTCAACACCCTCAACACCCTCAACACCTTCACCATCCTCACCATCCAAAACCCAATTTCGCCTCATCCTCACATCTATCCATCTGTTGTCGACATTCTCCTATTCATTCCCCTCCTTGAACAATCCTACTTTCCCTACCCCTAGCCTTCATTTCTCAGTATTACGTACTTCATCCTTGACCCCACAAACAATGCAAGGAGTATTTGATTATCTACCATCATTTGCTAATCATGCTAGTTAATTATCTTCCTTGATTACCATCATAAACCAGCATTAGTATAGCGAGGCGTTAATGTCCCGTACTTTACAGCCCCCAAGAGTGGCTGACCCAACTTTGATGTCAGAACCTGCATATCGTGAGGTGACTGGGATCCTCAGGTAATAACCTCCCTTGTCGTGGGATATCACGTGACTAGGTATGGCCAGCGCTCCACCTCTGCCCCCGTTCATACATCGGTCATCTAGATATCGGCCATTAATTGAGCTGTTAAATAATAGAAATATGGAATCGGATTATCATTTATACCTGTCCTCAGTAACTGCACCAATCCGAGTTTTATCTTCATGACGTGTTGAGAAAGTAATAATGGGACGTATGGCGGCCATATTGCATAGATGGCATATTACCTGTAGTGGCGTTTAATTGCTGGGCCCGTTAATTACGTTTGAAAATGTAGATTAAAATTGCTCTGTTACCTGGAATCTGAATGCATAATACAGAGAGACCGCTCAACGCCAGGATGATCTCCTGTACTTGTGTAACTATGTCTGTGCAATTGAGGTCTACTCACACGTGCAACACGCGTATACCCGTTGACGTGTGTATAGCCGGTATAATCAGTTACGTGTGTGAATGGGAGCGTTAACGTGTGGGGAGGGGGGGGGGGGGGTCTACTGGTAAAAGCTTACCTTTAGACAGGAGAACTGGATTACTGTGTTGTCATGGAACGTCACTTTCAAATCTAAGGGGATATGCAAATCAGAGTGAGTGAGTGAATATGAGTTTTACGCTGTATTTGCAGTATATGAGATATGTCACGATAGGGGAACCCGTGAAGATCCGGGGTAGAATAGGTCTTCAGCAACCCATACTTGCTGCAAAAGGGGACCATGCTTGGCGTAAGAGGCGACTAACGGGATCGGGTGGTCAGGCTCGTAGGTTGGTTGATGCATGTCATCGTATCCCAATTGCGTGGACCTATGCTCATGATATCAATCACTGGATTGTCTGGTCAAGACTCGATTATTGACAGACCGCCGTCATATGGCTGGAATATTGCTGAGTGCGGCATTAAACAACAAACCAGCCAACCAACCAACCTCGTTGTTCAGATGATGGGCTGGGATTTTGTCTGGAGATATTTTTTTCAGCTGCAAAACCAGATATAACATTAATTATAACTCGACTATTATATAGCTGGGATATTGCTGAGTGCGGCGTTAAACAACAAACAAACAAAACAAACACGACCAGGGAACTAGAACTAAGCTTCACACAGTGTACCCTTGTGGGCAATACAACCCAGGTCTTCGGCGTGACAAGGCAACACTTTCACAATTCGGCTTCCCGCCGCTCTGACAGCAATGACGGTTTGCTGTCGGTAATATTGTCGGACCAAGGCAGAGATTTGAGCTGTTTGATAACGTCACCACTCCTCATTTGAAACAAACGAAACTGGCAAGCTGTGCTGTACAATACAAATTGCGCATTTACTCAATGTTGGCCAATGAACAAATCAACGGGTTGCAGTAGAGATCTACAACAACATCCAAGACCATGACAGAGATGGGACAACAAAATTACAGCCCCGTCATGATTCTAAGTGGTATTAGTTTTTCTACCAACAACTAAATGCCTATGAATCTCTTAAAGACTTAGGGACCGACCACTGCAAAAGTAAATTGTTCACTAGTTATGATGGATGTCTTCACAGGATTGTGCTGTGGAAACAATGTCACTGGTCGACTCCTTCTTTCACAGAAGAAATGCGTGTATTGAATCTGTGACCAATAACGTATCCTGTTTCTCCAAATCCAAGTGCATAGGAAGACCTCGATGACGTCAATAGATTATCACAAAGATGACCTAGACGACGTCAAAGATTGTCTCAAGTAAGACCTCGATAGCGCCAAAAGGTTATCACAAAATAGACCTCGGTGATGTCAAAAGGTTATCACAAGGAAGACCTCGGTGATGTCAAAGATTGTCTAAAGGAAGACCTCGGTGATGTCAAAGATTGTCTAAAGGAAGACCTCGGTGATGTCAATAGGTTATCACAAGAATGACCTCGATGACGTCAATATATTGCCTCAAAGAAGACCTCGATGACGTCAAAGATTCTCATGGAAAACCTCCATGACGTCAAAAGGTTATCACAAGGATGACCTCGACGACGTCAAAAGGTTGTCTCAAGGGAGATCTCGACAACGTATTTATTTACAAGAACGACCTAAATGGCACCAGGAAATAGTCGCAAATAAGGCCCTGATGACGGCAATAGCTTGTCACAAGCAAGACCTTGGTGAGATGTTAATAGATCGAATGGGTAGCTAATGTTGATGTGTCGTGGTATGATATGCATTGGCGTCATGTTCACTTTGTCCCGACATGACAACATTCTCACTCCCCTCCAGCGTTAACAAGGCCGACACGTATCTTAGGCTGGGCAGCAACAATCCCCTCTTGTATTTGGAGCGAGCTGTTAACCATAAGAAAACGTAGCACTGACGCTAGTCACGGGGGTATATTTTTCCATCTATGTAATGTTTTTCGAATTTGAGGAAAGAAGGTCGCCCTCTTTAAGCATGTAATCTTAATCGCACCCAACGTTGATTGATAGGATCAGTGGTGCGAGGTGCACAGGCTATTTTCAGCTTGGTAATGTGTTACAGAAGGGTCAGTTTGCTTGTTGTTTAACGCCGCACTCAACGATATTCCAGCTATAGGACGGAGGTCCGTAAATTATTCAGTCTGGAGCAGACAACCCAGTGATTGACATCATGATCATCGATCTACACAGTTAGGATGCGATGGCATGCATCAATCAAGTCAGCGAGCCTGACCACCTGATCCCGTTAGTTGCCTCTTACGATCAAAATGGGTTGGTGAAGACTTTTTCTTACCCAGATCTGCACGGGGAGTCCGTGAAATTAATGCGTTGCTTCTCTGCTCCATAAGAACCATATCAATATAGGAAGGTTTTGAAGGTCTCCTGATTCGTAATCAGCGAGGGGTGGCCTTGTGGTATAAGCGTTAGCTCGTCACGCCGAAGACCAGGGTTCGATTCCCAACATGGGTACAATGGTTGATGAGCATTTCTGGTGTCCCCCGCCGTGATATTGCTGGAATATTGCTAAAAGCGGCGTAAAACCAAACTCACTCACTCACTCACTACTGCATAGGTGGAAGGTCACAGCAGTGGTGGACAGTTATGATGCAGTGGTAGACAGATACAGTAGCGATAGACGGTCATACTGCAGTGGTAGACAGTTACAGCAGCGATAGACGGTCATACTGCAGTGGTAGACAGATACAGCAACGATACAGCTTCTGTGAATGAGAGAGTTGGGTCTACGCCGCTTTGAACACTATTCCAGTTACTAGTATATCACGGCGTGTCTGCTTAATGTGGGAGGAAAGCCCGAAGTGATGCAGGTCTCAGACGGTTACCACTTTCATGAAACCCACGAGCACGGGTATGGTGCTGACAAACCTAGAAACATAATCGGGGTGAACCGGACTTTCGAACCGATGACCGATGAAACCGATGGGTCTTTGTTGTTTGTTTTTGTTTTGGTTTTTTGTTGTTGTTTTGTTTTGGTTTTTCGTTTTCTGTTGTTTTTTTTGGTTGTTGTTGTTTTGTTTTGTTTTTTTGGTTTTTTTGTTGTTGTTGTTGTTGTTGTTTTTGGGGGGGCGGCATGGGACGCAACTCTGCACATCAGATTGGGGTGCATATAGACGACTGGGCCACCCGTGCCTCCCGTTCTACTGCAATGCCTCTGGTATATCTGACCGGGCGTTGTCCACCTCACACTGTGATAAAGGAGGAGTCAGCACCTGGCACAGGACGCCCAGATCTGCCATGTTGTTCTTAATATCCTACATGTCCCACTTAATAAAGCTTATATTTCATTCTCCCAGTAACTGGCAGAGAAGGATGCATGGCTTAGTGTTTATCATTAAGCTACGCTTCACGTACGATACATCACAATACACATTTGTTATCAACAAAATTTATCTACTTTTAACTGAGCGTTCTTGTGATGTGCCAGGCATTATTTTTCACCGCCTCGTTAAGGAACTAAACAATGTTTGGAATCTGTGGCCAGGTAAGTCCGTATTTGTCATAACACTCCGTTCCT